GACATGTTCCTCCTTTTTTTTTTTTTTTTTTTTCAATGCTGAGGACTGAGCAGGCAAGGATGCTGTTTTCAATACTATACTGTAGATTCTAACCAAATAACAAGAAAACAATGAGTTCTAAAAGATCTGAGCTGAGAGCTGGGGATGGTGGCACAGCTCAGTGGCACAGTGCCTGCCTGGCAAGCACAAGGTCTTGAGTTTGATTGTAGGTACCAAAAAAGTAAATAAAATAAAGATATGGGCAGGGCATGGTGGTTCACACTTGTAACCCCAGCACTTGGGAGACAGAGGTAGGAGGATCACTGCAAGTTCAAGGCCAGCCTGGGCTACAAGGTGAGCTCAAGCCCAGCCTGCAATGCATAGTAAAACCCTGTCTTAAAAAGAGGAAAAGGGGGTGGGGAGATAGCTCAGTTGAATAAATGCATGCCTGGCAAGTGCAAGGGGCTGAGTTCAATCCCCAGCTCTGCCAAAAAATTTTAAAAAATAAAATAAAATAAAAATAAAAATAAAGAGAAAAAAATCTAAAAAGGAAAGAGCTCAAGCAGTTATTACATATATTGTCTCCTTAGAAAATCCAAGGAAATCATTATAAAGTCAACTTTTAAATAAAATTATTTTTTCCTAAATATGAGCACTTTGTAAATATAGGAAAATGATTAAAACAACAAAAACACAAATGACTTGGGAAATCCCCTCATCTCTTTTTTTTTTTTTTTTTTTTTAATGTATGTGGTACAGGGTCTCACTGTACAACTCAGACTCTTAGCGATCCTCCTGTTTTCATCTTCAGACTCCCTAGAGCTGCGATCACAGGCATAGGCTGGTGCCTGGCATGACACAACATGGAGGGCCAGGGATCGAGCCCTGGCTCCTGCAGGAAAACCCTGTGCTTTAAGCATAGAACATTGATGAAGAAAACAAAATTTTGCAGTAATTAGAACATAATTTGAAAAGTCATATTTCTACACCAGTCTGGCTTAGTTATGATCCCAGCAAGATTTTTCATGAGACTTAATCAACAAACTGATTGAGTAAATGCCTAGTGATAACCAAGACCATTTTTAAAAGAGATACAAAGGGCTGGGGAGATTGTGGCATAAGCGCCTGCCTAACAATCACAAGATCCTGACTTTGATCCCTGGTAGCGCAATTGGTAAATAAATGAACAGAGATACCAAAACATATTCTAAAACTCTTTATCACTCAGTATGGTCTTGGGAGAAAAAAAGCCCAGATTACATAACAATTTTATTTTTTAATCATTTTATTGGTACATTTCATTTATTTTTTCCATTTTTACAAGTTTTTAATTCATTCTCCATAAAATTTCTGTACTTCAAACACCGTCTGAAGTTGTTTTTAGCAGAAGGGTTGGTTCAGATCACCTGGTTCACCACCATGGGATACTGTCACTTCACCCAGAACTGCCTTGGTTAATTCCCACTTGAAATGTTAGTGGCTTTCCATTATTCAGTGGCTTTTGTTCTTGGTGGTGGACTAATATTCTCTGAAGAAGCACCTTCGCTAACCTTCCTGTTGTGAATAGATTCTACGATAGTTCTGGCCTCTGCTAAGCAGGCCCTATACCCTTGGATTAAACTGTATAAAGTTTATTCACAAATCTTTATTCTTTATCAGAAAGTCCTTCTGTGGGGCCCTTTAAGTGGCTTGTACACATAATTTCCTCAGACCGTTTGACAGCAGCATCCACTTTGCACAGTGGAGCCCACGTGACTTAGATGGCTGAGCACACAGGATTTCTGATCCCAGAATGAGGACAGGAAGCAGTAACAGTGAAAGTGTGTATGGAAAAGGCCTTTTAGGAAACATCCATGAGGAAGCTGTAGCAGCATGGAGAATACTCATTTTGTTTGTAATGGAAGAAAACCCTGGGTACTTTTTCACTCAGTGTGACTTGTGACTTCCCCTTTCAGGCCCTTATTGGTACATTTTAGGTGTCTGTAATGATCACATTCATGGTAGGAAATTTGTACCTGTACATGGTATAACTTGTTTCTTTTTTTCCTCCATTCCCCTACCCTCCTTTTGATGCGTCGTCCTTCACCCATTTATGAAGCTTTGTTTCCGTTTTCCTTCTTTTCTCTCTCTCTCTCTCTCTCTCTCTCTCTCCTTTTCCCTTTTTACCTCACCCTTCTACCATGTTCTCCTCCCCATTTGAACTTTTTTTATTTTTAATTTTGTGTATTTAGTACAGGGTCTACATAGATTGGATTCATAGTGATTTTCCTGTTTTCGACCTCCTAAACGCTGGGATTATAGGTGTGCACCACCACGCCCAGTCTCAATCACTGTCTCAGCGGGGCCTGCATGGCTTGTGATGCTAGGGATTGAGCCCTGGTCCCTGTGCTCTGCCTAAGCAGGCACTCTAGTCTGCTGAGCTATCTGGCTGGCCCTTTGAACATTTTCTTGGGTCCTTATTTACACTTTTGTAAATACAGTAAAATGGTTAAATGTTAAAAATAAAGTAGATGAATATTCATATATTTGGGAGCAAGCCTTAAACTTAGCCAAAAGGAATAAAAGCCATACAGGGAAGATGGATTAACTTGACTTTGACAAACCAAACCCTTTGTTAATTAGGAAAAAATATTTTAAGTGTATGCAATACAAGCAAAGGGTTAATATTTTAATCATTTTGAGAAAGGAAAAACAAGCAGTAAGAAAAGCCAATTCAGTAGAAAAATGGGCAAGAGTTATAAAATATTATTTCACAGAAGAGGAAATATAAAATAGTACCACATTTCAGTTATAAAATCGGTAAGATTGAGGATATTATTTTTTATGAGAATACTTTTTGTTCCACATCACCAGTATTTGATAAACTCTTTAGAACCTGTTTGGTCAGTTACAGAAATTGAAATAATAATTTCTCAGCCTACTGCTCAGGGAGATAATTTGAGATTATCTGAGATAATTAGGTAAGATAATATCAAGTAGGCATGTTATTGTCACCTGGATTTTTTTTTTTTTTTAATTTTTGTGTATGTGGTACAGGGTCTCACGATGCAGCTCAGACTCTTAGTGATCCTTCTGTTTTCAGCCTCCCCAGCACTGGGATTACAGGTGTGCACCACCACAACCTGGGTCCTTGGGCTTGCCAAGCAGGCGCTTAGACTGCTGAGCTGTGTTGTTGACCCACCACCTGGATCTTTTTTCCAGTTTTGCCTCATGCTTTCTATACATTAAAATCACCTGGAGGTCCTGGTACCAAAAACAGCATATAGGAACTGGGGATGTACAAAGTGGTACAGTGCTTGCCTGGCAAGCGCAAGGACCTGAGTTCGACTCCTGGTATCAATAAATAAAATAAACTCACTTGGAAAATTCTCAAATATATAGATAACCTTGGCTTTTCCCCTTATTAAGAGAATTAAATGAGAATTTCTAGTGAGTTAATGCCTAGACACTGGTATTTCTTATAGCTCCTTTAGGCTTTTTTTTTTTTTTTTTTTTTTTTTTTTTTTTTCTTTTTCTTTCTCTGTCATGTTAGAATTTAAACATGAGAATAAGGGCAGGTCAGATTTTTTTGTTTCTTTGTTTTTTACTTGTGTAACCCCTTTACTCAGTTGGTGCTGGATTTCAACATAAAATTTATTTTTATTTTTATTTATTTAATTTATTTTTTTAATGTATTTGGTACAGGGTCTCACTATGCAGCTTGGTCTCATAATGATCTTCCTGTTTTTAGCCTCCCCAGTGCTGGGATTATAGGCATTCACTACTATGCTCAGAATGGCCAGCTTAGTGATGCTGGGGGTGGGGCCAGTGTAGCATGTGGTGCTGGGGATCCCTTTGCTTGCCTAAGCAGGCTCTTAGTCTGCTGAGCTATCTCTCCAGCCTTCTAGGTATAATTTGGAAAGACTTATTAAGTGAATTAAACACTATTTGAATATTCTTGTCAGTGTTCTCTGAAAGTCATATATGATTATAAATCATTTCAAGCTAAAAATTGGAATTGACAATTATGTCAAATGTATCTTTTATTTTATAAACCAAGTTCTAGCTTAAAAATGTGCCTTATAAACCTAGTTCTATTTTGTTGGTGGCCAAGCAAATTTGATGCTATCGTTATTGTTTTACTTTATATTAATATATGAATTTCTCTTTGGCATTTAGGGTTTTACATAATACATTAAATCCTGCAAATCAACAAATAGCTTTTGGGAACAAACAGCTTATTAGAATTTCAGACCATTGTTGTCTTTAAGTATATTGTTTGGGATTGGCCAGATGGCTCAGTGGACTGAAATGCCTGCTTAGGCAGGCTCAGCCACTGGGGTTTGATTTCCAGTGTGCTGTGCTGGCCCCGCCCTGGGGCATGCTGAGCTGTGAATGAGACTAGGCGTAGTGGTGCACGCCTTTAATCCCAGCACTTGGGAGACTGAAAACAGGAGAAACACTATAAGTCAGATCTGTGTAGTGAGATCCTGTAGACCCTGTACTAAAATACAAAAATAAATAAATAAATTAAATAAATAAATAAATAAATAAATAAATTCTTTGGTTGGAGTAATATAAGTAAAACCAGACTCGATTTTTCTACATAATTTTAAACTACAATTGAGAATCTTATGTTTGTGTGATGGCCTGAGCCAAGATATAAACTGACTCATAGTCCTTAGCTAGGGAATTCTTTAGAGTAAGGAAGATGTCTAAGAAATATTGATGAATACAATAGGTTTTCATTCACAACTCAGACAGTCATTTTTTTACCTGAAGGTACTTAATTCTGTGTTTCAGGAAAACCTTGGAAGAATAAAGGGTTAAAGCGAGATTTAGATATAAAAAAACATATTTTAAAGTTATGACGGAGCTACAGTATATTCCAAATAAAGAATCATTGCTCTTTTATTTTCTTACAAATGGGAAGTTTTCTTTAGTTCCTTGAGCTCTGGTGGCAGGTCACTTAACAAAGCATTTGTGACTGGGCAAAATTTGTTGCCTGATGTGTACCTTACTACTTTTTCTTTTCCTCCTAGGCAGCAATCATTAGTAGAGTTCAGTGTAGGATTGTGGCTCTGGATCTACGAGGTCATGGTGAGTGAAGTTCTTAATTACCTGCTGGTTCCGTATCATGGTCACCAAGCTCCTTTAAATAAACTTAAATATAAATTTTAGAGTGGCCATAAAAAATAACCTGGTGTACTCCACTTGGACATTTTGGGGAGAAGTCTTACCTTCCAAATAGGCTATTGTAATTATCTGTTTAGAGAGGCTAATGGTAAGATTTGTCTCTAATGTGGAAAATTCTTGATAAATCAATCATGTAAAATTACGAAGTACACATTTCATTATCCACAAGTGAGATTTTGAAGGAATATTCTTGCTCTTATGGTTCCTATCCTTTGAGGTTTTACTTTAGAAATGTTTTCTTTTTAGGTGAAACAAAAGTCAAGAATTTTGAAGATCTGTCTGCAGAAACAATGGCAAAGTAAGTAGATATTGCTTATACATTTTGCCTCTTATCACCATTATAATGGTATGACTTTATGATTCAACTTTGTGAGATTTTTTTGGATGATGATTGGCACAAAATTGTGTTTTGATTTTGTCTTTTCTACTTTTAGTCTATTCTTATAATTTAATCTTGAAAAAAGCCTGTACCTTTATTAGTACGTCATCACATAAAATACTTCAAAAATTGTTCAAGTTTAGTTTGTAGAGGCGTTTTTTTTCAGAACCGGGGATTGAACTCAGGCCCTTGTGCTTGCCAGGGAAGCACTTATTCTACTGAGCCATCTGCCTGGCCCTGTGTACAGGCAAAAAAATTAATTTTATTTCATTGTGAAAAGTAAGAACAAAAATCAAAAACAAAGATAAATGGGGTAACATACAACAATACATATATTATAGATTTTCAAAACAAGAAATAGCCAAGGGCTGTCCAAATAGCTCAGTGGATTAAAGTGCCTGCAAACAGGTGCAGGGGCCAGGGATTCAATCCCCAGTCCTGCCATGCCGGCCCCACCCCCAGGGTGTGCTTAGATGGCATTTGAGACTGGGTGTGGTGGTGTGCACCTGTAATCCCAGCTCTTAGAAGTTGTAAACAGGTGGATCACTATGGATCTGATCTAGTAGTGAGACCCTGAACATCTTGTAGATCCTTCCCTAAAATACAAAGAAAAAAAAAGAAATAGCTAATTAACAATGATTGATATCTTATCTGTTTTATTGTCAAATCTGTTGCTCAGATTAACAGATATATTTATGTAAGATTGGACATATGGGGGCTGGGGAGATGGCTCAGTAGATTGTGTTTCCCTGGCAAGCACACGAGCCTGAGTTCAATACCTGGTTCTGCAAAAAAAAAAAAAATTAGATGCATCAAACACTGATTTTTGGGGCCCCAGGGAGATGGCTCAGTGGAATAAGCACTTCCCTGGCAAGTGCAAGGGCCTGAGCTCAATCCCCGGTTCCACCAAAAAAAAAAAAAAAGGATTGGACATATGATTGCATATTACTGCTTGCTTTCAAGAAACTTTAAATTTCTTTGTCTCTCATTTTTCTTTTTTTACTTTATTATGAAATTTGAAGACAGTATAGTAATAATTGATATGACATTAGAAACAAACATTAGACATTGAGAAGACCAAGATGAGAAGTATTCAACCATGGGTTTTGTATTACACATTTCTGTCCTCGATGTAATTGCTTAGATTACAGATATCATCATACAGAGTTAGTCCAGGTGCAAATTCTGTACGTTAACTGCAGTTCTCAAAAAATTGATGGAAATTTTTAGTACAATCACCTCAGCCATCTTGTTTGTATACTTGCAGGTTTTATCCCCTTGCCTTTTTTTCTATCTTTTCTCCTTTCTCTCCTCTTCATTGTTTAATCCTTATGTTCCATATCTTTCTGTTTTACTGCATCTGTTATACCTTTCAGGTTTTATTTCTTCTTTTGGGTTCTTATATTAGGGAGACTATATGATATTTACACATGTGGGTCTGATTTATTTAACTTATGAGTACAGCCCCTACTTGCATCCACTTACCTCTGAAGGCTTTGAATTTGTCTTTCTTTATAGCTGAGTAATACTCCATTGTAGAAAAATACCACATCTTTTTCATCCATTCTTTGGGTGATGGCCATTTTGGTTGCTTCCAAGATTTGGCTATGACAAATTGTGTTGCTATAAACATGGGTTCACATATATCACTATGGTATGATATTTTCAGTTGTTTTAGGAAAATATCCAGAAGGGGAATTTGAATTGAATGGGATTTCTAGTCCTACTTTTTTGAGAGGTTTAGTGGTTGTACAATCTCATTTCCACCAGCAGTGGAGAAGGGTTCCTTTTTCCCCTGCAGCCTCTCCAACATTTGTTGTTGGTTGATTCTTTATTATAGTCATTCTTTCTGGGGTGATATGGTATTTCTTTTTTCTTTTTTTTTTTTTTGGTGGAACCGGGGATTGAACTCAGGCCCTTGTGCTTGCCAGGGAAGTGCTTATTCTACTGAGCCATCTCCCCAGCCCATGATATGGTATTTCAATGTTGTTTTAATTTGCAATTTTTGAGTGGCTAGTGATGTGGAGCATTTTTTCATGTATTTATTTGCCTCTTGTATTTCTTCCTCTGAGAAGTGTGTATTCATCTCAGATGCCCACTTTTGGATTGAGTCTTTAAAGTTTGGGGCCCTGATTTTGTTTTAGTTCTTTATATATTCTAGATAGAACACCTTTGTCTATGCAATTATTGGTAAGATTTTTTTCAAATTTGTGGTTTGTGTTTTCTCTGTTTTGATGATTTCTTTTGACATGCAGAAACTTCTCAGTAAGAGGAGGTCCCAGTTATTGATTCTTTCAAGTATTTCCCATGCAGTTTGATTTTTGTTCATGAACTGTGTGTCTGTCCCTATATCTTCAAGATTTCCACCTACTTTCTCTTCCAGGAGTTTTAGTGTTTCTGTTTTAATGTTTAGATCTTTAATTTATTTATTTATATATTTATTTTTAATGGTCAGCTTAGCCCACCCTGGGGGCGGGGTTGGCATGGCATGTGGTGCTGGGGATCGAACTGAGGTCCCTGCATGCTTGCCTAAGCTTGCCTAAGCAGGTACTTTAGACCACTGAGCTATCTCTCTAGCCCTCTTTAATTTATTTTGACTTTAATTTAGTGCATGCCTATAGAGCCTGATTAGTTTTGGTTTTTAGCACGTAGAGAACCAGTTTTTCCATCACCATTTGTTAAAGAAGCTATCTTTCTTCCAGTGAACATATTTGGCCCTTTTGTCAAATATAAGATGGCTGAATGTGTTTGTATTTGTATCTGCGTCTTTTAATCTGTTCCATTTATCCTTAGGTCTTTCTTTGCCAGCACCGTGCTGATTTTATCATAGTAGCTTTGTTGTATAGTTTCAAATCAGGGATTGTAATGCCTCCTTCCTTGCCTTTGTTGCCCAATATTGCCTTTGCTATTCTAGGTCTTTTCTGGTTCCAAATAAATTTTACCAATGTTTTCTCTAGATCTGTCAGGTATGTTTGTGGTATTTTGATAGGGATTGTATTAAATCTGTATTAACAATTTTGGAAGTATGGCCATTTTCACAGTGTTGATTCTTCCTATTCAGGAGCAAGGAATATCTTTCCATTTTGTAAAATCCTCTTCGATCTCTTTTTTCAGAGTACTGTAATTTTCATTGTATAGATCTTTTACTCCCTCAGATTAATTCCTAGGTATTTCTTTTTTTTTTTTTTTTTTTTTTTTTTTGGATGTTATTGTGTAGGGTGTATTCTCTCTCACTGTGTTTATCCTCTGTGTAGAGGAATGCTATTGACTTTTGGGTATTGACTTTGTAACCTGCTGTGCTACCGAAATTGTTTATTAATTCTAGGAGTTTCTTGGTGGAGGCTTTTGTGTCTTCTAAGTAGAGTATCATGTCATCTGCAAATAATAGTAGTTTAACTTCTTCTTTATCTATTTTTCTTCCTTTTATTTCTCTCTCTTGTCTAATGGCTCTAGCTAATGATTTCAGAACTATATTGAGTAGGAGTGGTGGTAGAGGATGTCCTTGTCTTGTACCTAATTTATGAGTAAAAGATTTCAGATTTCCCCCATTTAGGATTATGTTGATGGATTGTCATAGATGGCTTTTATCAGATTGATGTAGAGACCATCTATTCCAATTTCCTGTAGGGCTTTGATCATGAATGCGTGTTGGACTTTGTCAAAAGTCTTCTGCATCAGTTGAGATGATCATGTGGTTTTGTTTTTGGTTCTGTTGATATAGTGCATTAGTGTACAGGTTTTTGAAAAGTCTTTTTTGTTGATGGAGTTGGATAGAATCTAGCTATCTCTCATGGACCTATCCCTGAAAAGTATTTGAATCCAAGAGGCCATAAGAGTATGTTAATTATCTTGTCTACTTTCTTTGTCCAGTGTAAACAGAAAGATGAGGACAGAGTATTAAGCGAATTATACCCTGGGCCTTAAAGTAAAGGGTAAATATAGCATATACTGTATAGTAGTTTACAAACTTGTTCACTTATCAGAATCACCTGAGAAATTACTTATAATGTAAATGATTTGGCCCTAACCCATAGCTGCAGAATTATTGCTAATTTTTAGCAGTGGGTTTTATGCATTTATATTTTGATGAAGCTCTGTGTAACCATCTGATGCAAACAGTTCCATGACTAATATTTGAGAACTATTGATGTGTGTGTGTGTGTGGTGGTGGGGGGTGGTACTGAAGATTGAACCCAGGCTATATCTCCAGTTTTTTATTTTCATTTTTATTTTATTTTTTATATTTTAGGGAAGGGTGTATAGGGTATTTAGGGTCTCACTACTGGATCAGACTCGTAGTGATCTGCCTGTTTACAGCCTCCCAAGAGCTGTGATTACAAGCTCACGCCACCATGCCTAGTCTTGATTACCATTTTAGTGTGCCCTGGGGCCAGGGCCAACAAGGCAGGTCCAGGAATCGAACCCCCAGCCCCTTTGCCTACTTTAATCCACTGAGCTATTTGACTGGCCCTATATCACCAGTTTTTTAAACAGGATCTTGCTAAATTATTCATGCTGAGCTCAAATTTATAGTCCTTCCACCTAAGCCTCCAAGAGTGTTTGGATTATAAGCATGTGCCACCTGTCATGTTAACTTTAAGTGATCAAACTGTTTTTAACCTGGGTAAATATACCTTTCTTAAGCATGGATGTGATAATAAATTGTTTCAGACCTTGTCTGCCTTCCTACATAAAGCTAATATAGACCCCCTCCAACTTAGTGTCTTACAATCATTATTCTGGAAATTATATAGTCATACTGGTTTTAAACCTTGTTTTTGTTTTTTGTTTTTTTTGTCCCCCAGATCACTCAGCATGGTTCTAGACTAATTGAACCTCCCCTCAGCTCCCATCCTATCATTTTTATACAGGTATATTGAATTAACCTTGGAACACCTATTTTTATTTCTCAGAAATTAATCTTTCTTTGAGTCACTTACTCCAAAGATCACTTGTTGCCTAATCTTTGTTCCTGTTATTTTCCATTAGTCTGAATAAAGGCCTGATGGATTTGACTTCATATCATTTCCTTGAGTCCATAGTGCCCAATGCCAAGGGAAAATTGCTTTAAGTATATTTCAGTGAGATAGCAGAACTTTGAAGCTGTTTCTTGGTAGAAATGCAGATAGACTCAATAAAATTGATTTGGCATTAATAAATACATCCTCAGTTTTATTATATATAAAGTAGTAATAAAAGCCCTTTCAGATAGGACTGTTGAAGAATTATATTAAATGATATATTAGCTTTCTCATTGTCGAGACAAAATACCTGACATCCAAAGTTAAAAGGGATAAGGTTTATTTAGTTCATAGCTTATAGAGGCTTTATTCCATAATTGTCTGGCTCCAAGGGAGGGTGGCACATGGCAGAGGGTCGAAAGTTCATGGCAGTAGCAGATAGCAAAAGCAACAAGAGAGACAAGTGTCTTTCTGTTCCTTATGTTCTAAGCAGGCTACCTACCCTTAGCTGGGTATAGCATTCACACCCTTAATCCTAGCATTAGACTATGAATTAATCAGACTCGATTCAGCCACCTCTGAAACACCCGCCCTCTACCCCATTACTGCATGAGGCTTTAGGGTGACATCTAGATACAAACCATAACATGATGTTACAAGAAAGCTCATAGTACATAATAGTCACTTGTCCTCATTTATTTTTGTTGTCATAACTGAGTGCTATTAATGGGTAATTCATACACAACAGAAGTTTGTTTAGCTCACTGTGCTGAACAGTTGAGTGTAGTGCTGGCATCTGGGTAGGGCCATGTTCTTGCATCTTAACCCTTCATGGTTAGAGCATCAGTGGTGAGACAGCAAATGAACCACAGAGAACTCTCTTTTTAACAAGTCACCTCTCATGATAATCCATGAATTGATGATTGGATTAATCCCACTCATTTCCAGAAGTCCTATCTCCAAATACTGTTAATTATGAATTTGAGTGAGATGTTCAAACCATAGTAGCCCTGAATAAATATTATTGGTTCTCTTTTCTTCCCTTCATATCATTTGTGTTCCAGAGAAAATTTTGAGTTTAATATAGAAGCAGAAATAGTGTAAAAGAAACTTGGACTTTTTATCTTAACTACATTTATCTCTTTAGATGATTGCCTGAACTGCTTCATTTTCCATCTTAGCCTTAAATTTAACTCCAAAGGAATGTACAACTATTATTTGTTTTCAGTTACAAAATTTGGTGGGCTCTCTGCCTTCCATTCACATTGCGTATTGCTGCTGCAGCTATATTTTTCACTAGCTTAATTGTATGAGATTTTAAAAATTAATTCCTTCAAATCAGTCAGTTTTGCCTTTGTCATTAGGAACACAATGGAGACCGTCTCTCAAAGTCTTGTGTTCCTATATTGACTTGCTGTACTTAGTTAACGTTATAGGAGTACTTCAATATGTGGTGACACTCAACAAAAGAAAACTGTCTTTTAAAGCTCTCTTATTCCCCATTCTTAAAAGAAAGCAGTAGAGTTAATGGTCCCAAAAACACATCTTTATTGTTCTTATTCCATCTGTTGTTCCTATAGGATCTGCAAATAAAATTCGAAGTTCTTCATTTGTCATTTTCTTTTTTTTTTTTATTTATTATGTGTGTGTGTGTGTGTGTGTGTGTGGCCAGCTCAGCCCACCAGGGGGCGGGGCTGGCTGGCATGTGGTGCTGGGGGATTGAACCGCGGTCCCTGTGCTTTGCTAAGTTTGTTCTAAGTAGGTGCTTTAGACCACTGAGCCATCTCACCAGCCCCTCATTTGTCATTTTCAAAGCTTTAAATTTGACTTTTCTAAACAGATCCACTCTAATTGAAGAACAGAACAAAAGCCAATAAAAATTAGTTGTGAACATCTTTCTAATTTCATAGAGCACTGTATATAAATATATAAACTGTCATCGTTCAAACAACTATATGTGAGAATTTGTAAGTAATAGTGGATGCCCACATAGGGCTTCGCTTTTTCAGAGCACGTTTGCGTTCACTTCTCAGTCAGTCCTCGAGCAGAGTAGTAGGGGAGATGCTTACCTTCATTTTGTAGGTGTTACGTGTCTGTGAGACACTTTTGGTGTCTAAGAGATTAGTTCAAGATTGTGTAGTAAAAGAAATGTTTGATACTTTGTTGACTTATTGATGGGAAAACTAATGAAAAGAGTAAATTATTTTTCTAGAGCTTCAAGATCAGAGTTGAATTAAAGACACATATTTATATAATTGCATTCAATGTGTGGAGCTGGGTGTTGTGGTATGTACCTATAGTCCTAGCATTTGGGAGGCTAAGACAGGAGAATTGCCTCAAGCTTGAGACCATGCTGGGCTGTTAAATATTTTCTCACATACTATTATCAAAAAGCTGGAGTTCAGGACTGTCGTGGACCATACAGTGAGACTTTATCTCAAAAGACAGGAAAGAATGAATGAATGCAAGTGTTAAATGGTGAAAGTGTTATACAAAGGAAATCTGCAAATTTGAGTTCTTTGTCCTTGAGCTACCATTTGGCAGGGTAGGTAGTTGGGTGACTGTCTGTATAGATCCTAGGGAACGTAGTAAGAGGTATAGTTACATATGTATGTTTGTTTGTAAGGTAACTCTTTAGACCTTTACCATTTCCCAGAATCAAGACCAAAAGAAGGGTGTAGGAGAGACTTAGAGTCTATTACGAGCTTTCTTCTCTTTACAGAGATATCGGCAATGTGGTAGAAGCCATGTATGGAGATCTCCCTCCTCCAATTATGCTGATTGGACATAGCATGGGTGGTGCTATTGCAGTGCATGCAGCAGCCTCTAACCTGGTGCCAAACCTCCTGGGTCTGTGCATGATTGATGTTGTAGAAGGTAAGTTTTCTTTGTACCACCAAATCAGAATCATTGACTTATAGGAGGCGTCCACAGTAGATTATTAATCTTGTTTTAATTTTTTTTATAATCTTTTTGAGACAGGGTCTCACTACACAGTTCAGGCTAGCCCTTGAGCCCACTTTGTAGCCCAGGCTTTTTTCAAACTAACAACGATCCTCCTGCCTCAGCCTCCTGAGGGTTGAGATTACAGGTGTGCGCCACCATGCCCAGCTTGTTTTGATTTTTTTTTGTCAGTTTCATATGTCTCGAAGTATGTACCTTTATCTTTGTATCTTTTTAAAATTACATCATTATCTTTGTATCTTTTTAAAATTATATCATTTTCCATATCATCAGAAATATTTCATTAATATTTTCTTATGGATGTGTATAATATTTTAATCATATATATATCTCATAGTTTCATTTAACCATTAAAGACAAGCTGCTAAATATTTCACAGCCCAGCTTGAAAAGTCACACTGCTGCTTATATAAGTCCTGTTCACTATGGGGACACTATACCAGAGAATGAATACTGGGACGCAAAAATCACCGAGGGCCATAGTGGAAGCTATCTATGTTAGTCTTTGAAATTTTCTTAAATGGTTTCTAATTGTGCTTAGTGGAATGGGCACATAGATGAAATAAGGCTGTTCATGAGGTTGTTTTTTTTTTTTTTTTTTTGAATAATTTTATTGAGAAACGAATAGCAATGAAACAGTTTCAAAACTGATTACTAGCACAGTTTCAATAATTAATACGTTGCATATTCTTGTTTTAGTGGTTATTCATTGTTCAAGATGCAGACATGATATCCTGTCCACATACACTATTAGAACAAATCTCTCTATTCAGTGACCCAAGAGAATGCAGCTGTGTGTCTGTTCTAACTATTTTGAACCTACAGACACAAAATGGTTGTTCATTTGTATCCCCCTTTTTTGTTTAGTTTTGTCAGGGAAGGGTATTCCATTGTCATTTAAATATTGTAGGTTCCTGAATTCAGCAAAATATTCCAATATAGTCCAGTAGTCCATAATTGCAGTGGATTTTCCATAAGACTAGCAATGAGAGAAGTTGTTGACTTGGCCAGGGAGATGGCTCAGTGGAATAAATGCTTGCCTGGCAAGTGTAAGGGCCTGAGTTCAGTCCCCAGTTCCGTCAAAAAAAAAAAAAAAAAAAAGAAAAGAAAAAAAAGTTGTTGACTTGAGCCTTTTATAGCTCAGCATATTAATATGGCTTTACTGGTCATGAGTTAATGACTACTGAAAATGGGCAGTAGGTACAATTGGGGTTCACTGTATTATTTTAATATACTTATAACTTTTCTATAATTCAACATTTTAAAGAGAAAAATATTCTCCACTATCATTGAATTCTGTTATTGTTGGGGGCAAACATATAAAGTTGTCTTGGAATAAATTAAATATTGTGTTAAAATTTTTAACATCCAGGTACAGCAATGGATGCGCTGAATAGCATGCAGAACTTCTTACGTGGTCGTCCTAAAACCTTCAAGTCTTTGGAGAATGCTATTGAATGGAGGTAACACATAAATCTCTCAGGAAAATTGCTAGAGACCTTTAAGCTTATATTTCAGTGTTTACTCCTAAAGTCTTCCACATCTCCCTTGAAGGATATGTTCATAATGTTAGTTTTCACTAATACCTGTCTTAATGACATTTTTGTATCATAAAGGCAGAAACTGTATTTCTTTTCTACTTTAACACTGTATATAGCATACTGATGACTGCCCTAGCAAGAAGAGCATGTCTGTTAGTTAAATCAGAGATTCCAAGTGGGAACTAAGAATTTTACCCTGATAGATGTATCTGAGGGATTTTTTTTTTCTGAGACAGAGGATCTCATATTAGAATATGGTTTGCCAGAAGATTTGTGTTTGCTAAGGTTGCTTCTGCTCACCCTGTTCACTATCATGATGCAGGATTCCTGTTTCCTCAGAAGCAGCAAAGAGCGCTCTATCTTGGGTAGCCACAGCATTGACCTTAGCTCAGTATGTACTGAGCAGATAGGTGTCCTATCTGCTTCCCAGGTAATAACCAGTGACATAATTATTCTGGACTTGATTTAGTTATCTAAAATTTACCTTTTTGGGCTGGAGAGATGGCTCAGTGGTCTAAAGCACCTACTTAGAACAAGCTTAGCAAAAGCATCAGGGACCGCGGTTCAATCCCCCAGCACCACATGCCAGCCAGCCCTGCCCCCTGGTGGGCTGAGCTGGCCTCTCTCTCTCTCTCTCTCTCTCTCTCTCTCTCTCTCTCTCTCTCTCTCTCTCAAATAAATAAATAAAAAAAAATTAAAATTTACTTTTTTATCATAACATTTATTTAGTAAACTTATTTTCTAGTACCTAATTATGTACCTGATTAAAGATTTGGAAATAAACCAGGTTCAGTTTCAAGTTTAAAAATTAAAAAAACCAGAGATCCAGACAAGTGAAAATATATGCAATACAATGAAGGAAGCAGAGAGGGTATAGAAAAAGGGTAATCAGTTTAGGCTTGGGGTCAAGGTAGGTCTTGTCTGAAGTTTAGTGCCAGCTGTAGGTTTGTTGAATATTAAAATGTTCCTGACTCTGTGATAGTCACTGGTTTTTTCTGTGTTCTGAGCTTGAGTTTCAGAGTTATATAATGATTTTGTTTTGTACACCATACAGGATATTCTGGATCAGATTTATGACCATGGCCATTTTGGCTATTATAGATTAATAGAAAGAAAATCGTTAAAAGGCCAATAAATTACTGCTTTTGCTCTCTTGGTCTTCCTAATGAGAGCAGTAGGTGGAGGTGATTAAGAAGTGGGACTTTGAAGTCATAGATAGATAGATAGATAGATAGATAGATAGATTTGCATTTTGGATCCACCAAAATAAAAGAGGGAAAGAAATGGGGATTGGTGGAATACAGGAAGTGAGAAATTGGTTAGGAGATGGTTGTAACGATTGTAAACATAAACTAGGTGGCAACAAAAGAAATAATACAGTTAGATATGTCTTCTGAAAATAGAGCTGACAACTGGTTTATGGATTGGATGTTGAGAGAAAAAGGAGAGCAGAAAGGGAGCACAAGGATGACTTATTAGGTACTAGAAGAAGGGTAGAGATCAAAGTCAATTTGGTAGCAGATAAGGGTAGGGAAATCAGTTTTGATTGGAGAAACTAAAATGTGTATTACAAATCAAAATGGAAATATTAAGTAGGCAGTTGAATATACTAGTTAGAAAAAGTTGAGCTACAAGATAAACTGGAGAATTATCACATAGATAAGATGTAAAGCTGAAAGATCAAATGCAATAACATAAAGAGTTGATGTTGATAGAAAAAAGATCCAAGAGTTGAGCCTTGAAGTATTCCACAATATTTAGAGCTTGGGAAGAAGAGGAAGAGCCAACAAAAAAAAGTGAAAAGTAGCAAAACCAAGAGGTTGTAGCATAGCAAGTACTTACAAACAAGAGAGAGCGTCTGTGTCAAATGTAGCTGAGGGATCAAGATGAAGAACGAAGGAATGGCCATTGCATTTGGCATGATAAATGTAACCTTAACAAAAGAAATCTCAGGAAATACATGGAAGATTAAAGCCTTATAACAGGGGTGCTAGCTTAGCAGCATGAGCACCTGCCTGGCAAATTTGATCCTGGTACCAAAAAATAAAGTAAAATAAAAACCTATAATAAATTGGAGATAAAGGTTAAGGAAAGAAAAAAAAATAGGAAAGCAGGATGGCTCTTTTGAAGAGTTTTGCTGCTTAGAGCAGGGAAATAAGGTATTATGGTATCTAGTAATAAATGTAGTATTGGGAATCTCTTTAAGGACTAGATAGTAGAGTACTTGCCTAGCGTTTTGTTTGAGACAGGGTCTTACTCTGTCATTTGGGCTGGCCTTGTATGCACTGTGTAACCCAGGCTGACCTTCAACTCAGTAATTCTCTTGCCTCAGCCTCCTAAGTGCTAGGATTACAGGTATATGCCTCTATGCCTAGCTTTACTTAGCATTTATGAGGCTTTGGTGTGATTCCCAGCATCAAAGATGACAACAGTGAAACAGTTAAACAAGCCATAAACCAGGCTAGAGAGTATGATTAGAAAGTATGATAGATGTGTAGGGTCTGTTGACGACTGAAAGATGAGGAAATAGTTCAGGTTGCTTTTGTCTATCATTATAGTAAGAAACAGTGTTACCATCTGAGGAGGGCTTAACATTTGCATGAGGGTTGTGTGTGCACATGTGTGTGTGTATGTGTGCACATGTGGATATAATCCAGGACTTTGCCCATGTTAGGTAAGCACTCTCCTACTAAGCTACACTCCCAGCCCCTAATTTGTAAGAATTTTTAAAACTAAAAAGTTTATGTAACATAAAAGGAGTATGTTCCCTTTGTGGCCTGCTTTAGGAAGAAAAGAAAAATTTTCACCCTATCTTTCCTTTCCCCTATCCTAGTTATTGTTTATTTTTGGGCAATTTCTTTCCCTTTCACAATATCAATTATAGATTTTGGATCTTACTTACTCTTTCAGTTTCTTACAGCAGGGAGGCAATATAATGTTGACACATCAGAGTCTGATTTATTTCACTTATGAGTTTGGTCTCAAGTTGCATCCATTTACCTATAAAATCCTTGAGCTTATCCTTTATAGCTGAGTAGAACTCCTTTGTATAAAAGTACCACAATCTTGGAAGTGAAAACCTATGGAAGATGCTGGGCTTATCAGTTATGCAAACTTCAGTCTTGTTTGTCAACAGAGCAGAAGTAAGAAGCTAATCCAAGAATCTCACCAGATGTAGAATCTGAGATGTAGACAGATTTTTGTATAATGAAACATGGTACCTAGTCACTGCACTGTAAACCAGAGAAGCATCATCAGTCAATGGTGTGGCTGTTGAAGACCTAGGTTGCCAGAGCCCCACTTCCCATAGCCTCAAAATTCAAAACATAAAATGCCCTTCTAAGGAAGTAATCTGCTAATGCAAAATGCTTGTATGAGCCAGCTTTCAGGTTCCTAAATAAACATAAATATGTTGTAAAACCATTTGAGAGAAAAGAGAAGCATTTGTGAAGTTTCTGAATAAAGAATACTTGGGAAATTAAAAAAAATATATATCTTTTTTTATCCATTGCTTGGTTGATAGGCATTTGGGTTGTTTCCAAGATTTAGCTATTACAGATTGTGCTGCTATAAACATTGGTGTACATATTTTGCTGTGGTTTGATGTTTTTAATTCTTCAGGGATACCCAGAAAGGGAATATCAGGGACCTCTAATCCTAGTTGTTTTTGAGGTTTCTCCACACTGATTTCCACAAACCAAGCTGCATGGGAAGTACTTCAAAGAATCAACTCCTGTGATCTCATCTTATTAAAAAGTTTTTGCACATCAAAAGAAATCACCAACAGAGTGAAAAGAAAATGTATGGATTGTGAAAAAAATTAGCCAACTATCTCTTAGATAGAAGGACTTCTATCTAGAACTTATAAAGAATTAAAAAAAG